GTGGAACCTGGTTTATTTAAAACTCTGATACCTAGGGTTTGGTGTTCTCTTTTTAATATTAGCTTGTGTAGTCATCATTTCAAGATCAATAGAGCTCTCTAAGGTCCTCCAAAAAGAGGTTGTGGGTGCCTGTGAGTCTGGCAAGGGATTTTAAAAGACCATCAAATGGTTTGAAATCAGTCACTCCATTGTAAGGTAAATAATGTACAAGTGGTGTAGATTATAAGAAACTGGTAATTTGTCCAGGACTGGCCGGCCCAGCTAATTCAATCCAAAAGCTGAATGTTTGATGCTAAATAAATGAAACCCTCCAAGAACACCAAAATGTCATTGTGCGTGGTTCGGGTTCTTGTAACAGGATCAAAGTGCATGCATCTACAATGAGAAAGAGATTGCACCAATTCACACTGCATGAGGAGTGTGTTAAGAAAAAGCCTGTGCTGACCTAAAAGTACATTAGAGCAAGGTTGTAGTTTGCCATTGAACATATAAACAAAGACTGGGCCTCGTGAAATAATGTGCGGAAGACTGATCAATTAATGATGGAGTTTTCTGGTCACAGTAACAGTAGACATATTTGCCACAAACCAAAGAGTATTTCAGGAGAAGAACCTTATATCAACAGCGAAGTATGGTGGTGGAAATTTTACGGTTTGGGGTTGCTTTGCTGCTTCAGGGCTTGGGCTGCTCGTAGTCATCAAGTCAACTATACTATACATCATACATTATATAAAAGTGTGCTTGATAAGAATGTGAGGCCATCAATCCAAAAACTCAACTTGTACCGGAAGTTAGTGTTTCAACACAATAATAATCTAAAGCACACTAGCAAACCCACTGGGTAATGGCTCAGAAAGAAAAGCTAGAGAGTTAGACTGCCCTAGTCAAAGCCTTGATTTGATTCCCATTGGGATCTTGTAGTGGAATTTTGAAACGGGCCGGTCATTCAAGAAAACCCACAAACATCATGCAACTGATAGAAGTTTGCATGTAGGAGTGGTCAGAAATGTACTTTTCCACATGACGCTTTGTATATATACACTATATTGCCAAAAGTATTGAGACACACCTTCAAATCATTGGAGTCAGGTGTTCCAATCCCCTCCATGGCCACAGGTGTATAAAATCAAGCACCTAGGCAAGCAGACTGCTTCTACAAACACTTGTAAAAGAATGGGACGCTCTCAGGAGCTCAGTGAATTCAAGCATGGTACCGTGATAGGTTGCCACCTGTGCAATAAGTCCATCCGTGAAATTTCCATGCTACTAAATATTCCATGGTCAACTGTTAGTGGTATTATAACAAAGTGGAAGCAACTGGGAAAAACAGCAACTCAGCCACGAAGTGGTAGGCCACGTAAAATGACAGAGCAGGGTCAGCGCATGCTGAAGTGCACAGAAGTCCCCAACTGTCTGCAGATTCAATAGCTACAGACCTCCAAACTTTGTGTGGCCTTCAGATTGGCACAACAACAGTGCGTAGAGGGCTTCATGCAATGCGTTTCCATGACCGAGCAGCTGCATCCAAGACTTACATCACTAAGTGCAATGCAAAGCGTTGGATGCAGTGGTGTAAAGCATGCCGCCACTGGACCCGAGAAGTGGAGACGTGTTCTCTGGAGTGATGAATCACGCTTCTCTGTCTGGCAATACGATGGAACTGTCTGGGTTAGGCGGTTGCCAGGAGAACGTACTTGCCTGACTGCATTGTGCCAAGTGTAAAGTTTGGTAGAGGGGGGATTATGGTGTAGGGTTGTTTTTCAGGGGTTGGGCTCGGCCCCTTAGTTCCAGTGAAGGGAACTCTTAAGGCATCAGTATACCAAGATCCATAAAGACATGGATGAGCGAGTTTGGGGTGGAGGAACTTGACTGGCCTGCAGAGTCCTGACCTTAACCCGATAGAACACCTTTGTGATGAATTAGAGCGGAGACTGCGAGCCAGGCCTTCTCCTCCAACATCAGTACCTGACCTCACAAATGCGCTTCTGGAAGAATGTTCAAACATTCCCATAGACACACTCGTAAACCTTGTGGACAGCCTTCCCAGAAGAGTTGAAGCTGTTCTAGCTGCAAAGGGTGGGCCAACTCAATATTGAACCCTAAGGACTAAGACTGGGATGCCATTAAAGTTCATATGCTTGTAAAGGCAGGCGCCCCAATAATTTTGGTGTGTGTTTTATGCGCTTTTTTTTTTTCTGACGTGTATGTAAACTCAGGAGCACAGTTGTATTTGTAAAATTATTGACTTTTTCAACATATTTTAATACATTAGATCTTCATTCACACACTGAGGTGATATCCTTGAGCAAACACACATGTAATCTTCTGGGATTATGTATGGTCTCCTTTAAATTAGAGGATTCACACGCCCTTTCATCTAACAAGGAGAAAGGATTTGTTTCTTTGGGGAAAAAAAAATTAAGTTTCCTGACCATCCTTTTTTGATAACTTTTTCCACAAGGAGTGGAAGCACCTGGAAAGGACTTCCTCCACCCAAATATTTTCCTGACCTTTTTTCCGTTACAGAGGACTTTGTAAAAAGTTGGACTGCTCCACGTGTGGTTAATCCACCTATCTCATGCCTTAACAGGATGAGCACTATTATGGTGAAGGATGCTCATATGTCAACCATACAGTCAAGAAACTGGAGTCTCTGTCCCATTCCATGTACTCTTTGTGTGAATTAAATGGCCTTGGGGCTCAACTCTGTGTATCATGCGAACTTGGACTTCCCTTATTTAAAATTGAATTAATTTGTTCTGTGATGGCCTCTCTTCACCAGGGTGGCCTCCATAGAGATCCAAGATGCATTATTTTGTGTCTTCATATTTCCAAGCTGTTAATGGTTTCTCCATTCAGGGACAAACACTACCAATTTGTGACCCTTCCCTATGGTCTGTTATCAGCACTGAAAGTGTTAACATAAGTGCTGGCAACAAAAACTGCCCTTATATGGTTGAGTAGCATCCGAGCCACAGGTTACCTAGAAGACCTTCTATTAGGGGAGGAGTCCTTATTTGGCCTAACAACCAATGTCCGCATCACTAAATTTTTAATTGAATGGGAAAGTGTAACAAATATAAAATAGATTTAATTACAATTTGGCTGCAAAAGTGGAAATACACTTTAGGTCTTATCCTAGCCACCATTCTGGCCAGATTGTTCCTTCCTCAACAAGGGTGGTGACCTTTTAGTCTCAGGTTCCATAGCTCCAGTCCTAGTGTTGAGACACCCTTCAGAGTTGCATGAGTGTCCTGACTCTTATGGTATTCTTCTTGGAGGAGATAAGGTTTGTCCAGTTTCATATGAGAGCCACACAGTCCAGCAGGCAGGAACTTCTTTCCCTTCAGAGGAAAGTGTTGGTGGCCAGAGAATCAACATTCTGGAACTTTAAAGGATTTACCTGTCCCTTCTAGAATGTGCTATTGACTGATTATCTAATTTGGATGGAAAAATAGAAAGTGGACTTCCTAAATAGACAATGACTGGATCCTGAGGAGTGGTCCCTCCATCAAGTGGTATTCCAAGATCTCTGACTTCATTGGGTCTCAAACATTTTGTGGTAGGTGGATGCACTGGTATCCTTGAGTATCCGGTCTCTCTGATTTATGCCTTCCCCCTTCTGAGGCTATTGCTTTGAATAATCAAAGTGGAAGGTAATCTGGTGAGTCTAATAGCCCTGTATTTGCTTAGAAAGGCTTGGTATGCTGGCCTAATCTGCTTGCTGGCAGTCCGTGGCCTCTTCCAGACAGGCCAAAACTTGTGTCCCAAGCACCATTTTTGCACTCTGCATCACTGGCTTTATGCCATGCCCATTGAAGCCCAGGTGCTGAGGGATAGGGGGATCTCAGAGTCAGTAATACCTGCCATGCTTAATGTGAGTAAATTCTCCTCATGGAACCATTGCACCCAAAAAGCCTATTATGGTATGGTTGTCATGAGACCAGTGTTTCTCACCCTTGCTTCTTCTCAATAGGAAGAATCCTCTTCTTCCTTTAGTAGTGGATCAGAAGATGTACCGTAGTACCATCAAGAGTCAGTTGTCGGCTTTTGCCAACCTTTTGGAGAGTGCCTATTCGTCGATCTGGACTTTTTTTTTTTCAGGAGGTCTCTGAAGGTGCCCATACACCTTACGACCATGGTCGTATGCTTCTTGAAAGCCCGCCGTACGATCTGCCCACCTTGGACGGGCAGATCGTACTTGCAATCACCGAAAGCCCGCCCCGCTGATGGCAATGCAGAACGGGCAGTGTGCGCGTGCGCACACCGGCCCGTTCCGAAGCTATCGGGCGAGCAGGCTAGGAACCCGCCGAGAATCGTACAATTCTCGGCGGGGTTTTGAACATTTTGGCTCGCCAAAAGACGTGCGACCGTACAGTAGAAACGGTCGCACGTCTTAGTTCACACTGCTCGATTCTCGTACAATCGCGGGATTTCGCCCGATTCTCGTATGAGAATCGAGCAGTGTATGGGCACCTTGAGTCTGCATCCCATTGTCAGATCCCCTCTTCAGCTGTGGGATTTAACATTCTTACTATCTGTCCTTCAGAAACCCGTCCTTGAGCAGATTAGGAAGGCTGATTAGCCTTCAAGTACTTGGCCTAGTGTCCAATCTCCTGGTAGATGGCAGTAAAGCCCACATTTCATAAATATGAAACACTGTGTCCCTCAAAGGACTTTAAGAAAGAAATGTTATTGTAAGTACAAAAATCTCATTTATGTTGGCTTACATCAAAATGCAGAGTTATTTCCAGGGACAGATGTTTAAAGGTCTGGGAATATCTATTGAAATGTCGGAAAAGCAAGGAACCTTTGTGTCCAAAGATATGCAGCTTGTACCAAACTTGATTTCCTTTTAATACAAGTTAAAGACAATATTTCTTGACTTCTAAAAACATTGTCGACTCCTCAGTCTTCCCACTGGCTACTGTATTGAACTTTAATATACTCATCCTTGAATTTTTTTTGTAATTGTTTTGCTTTTATGAATTTCTTTCCAGAGTCCCCCCCTATACCCCCTCCCCTTCTGAACAATGCATCGGACCATGCGGATCAAGATGACGGAGCTGAATCCACATCTTATGTGTGCCTTGTGTGGAGGATACTTCATCGATGCAGCGACCATTGTAGAATGTCTGCATTCCTGTGAGTGTACACTGCACCCTAGTGGTATTACATGTACGGTTTTACACATAGCACAATGTGACTGTATAATAGATCAAACAATTTTATTTCAAGTATTTATATTGTGCTGACTATTTACGCAGCACTTTACATACTGCACATTCACATCAGTCCTTGTCCTCAGGGAGTTTACAATCTAAGATCCCTATTGCACATACATACAAGGCAAATTTAGACAGGAGACAGTTAACCTTGCAGCATGTCTTTGGAGTATGTATAGTCGTTATGCATAAAAAGGGGTTCTGAAGGAAAAATGGTTGTTTCCTTTAGCATTTCCTCTTAACAAGTCGTGTTTTCAGGACCTCACTGATTTTGCATAGGTGTAATATAGGGCCAATCCTGTCGGAACTGGTTATTTTAGCTATGGTTGGACTACCCAAAGGCATCATATATCTCTATAGGATTTCAGTAGGACGATATCTAGCTGAAATATCTTATTCCTGACTCTTGTTCTTCCTGGAAACTTTACTATTTTGCTGCATTCTCCACATTATGTAAAATACATTTAAAAAAATCAAGGTAGCAGGATATTTCTTTAAAGTGACACTAAACTCCGGAGTTAAATCTTAAAAATGCCTTTGTATTAAGATTGCAGTCCATCACGGGAACAAGCTTGGAGCGGTGGCTACTTTAAAACACACACAGGGATCATGGGCAACACAAGTAGCCACCCTCCAGAAGGAAGTACAGTGTCAATGCAATTTTAGTGATGATTTGAGGATCTACAGCTGAATGGTACACAAATATTTCTGTGAAGGTTCTCATTCATCCAGGTCATGGTATATCTGTAAACAAAAAGTCAAGGCAACTGGACTTGCTGTATTTTTCTTGAAGACGTTTCATTGGTCATCCAACCACCTGGTTGCGCTTAACAGATTATGTGGATTGGAGCAACATTCACCATATTTATTCCCAGAGACTTTTTGTACAAGTCATGCCGAATTGAGAAAGCTGGTTGGATGACCAGTGAAACGTCTTCAAGAAAAATACAGCAAGTCCAGCTGCCTTGACTTATTTTTTTACAGAGGTACACAAATAAAGTACATTTTTGTTAATAGTTAAGGTACCTGAATGCATTTTTAAGACTTCTGAGTTTAGTATGACTTTGATGCTGTGACAGGTGGGCAGACCTGTAATCACTGATGCAGTGGTGATGCTAAAGTAACCACCAGTTTTACACAGAAAACCTGAAATGAGATAAATATATGTGCTGTTGTTGCTGCTCTTTACATTTGAAAAAGATAGTTCCCTGGCTGTGTTGCTGATCCAATTCCTTCATCATTTCCACATCACTGACCTGCATAAAATATGCAGTTCTGGAGTTCTAACTTCAACCCAAGTTCACTAGCATTCTCAGATGAAGATTAGCAGCAGCACCAATATTACCCGGTGGGAGGATTTGAGACCTGCTGTTTCCCCTCCCCCAATCTAACTTACTATGGCTTTGACATGTCTGAGTTCTGTCTTTTCTTTACACAGTTTGTAAGACCTGTATCCTACGCTACTTAGAAGCACACAAATTCTGCCCCATGTGTGACTCTCAAGTGCACAAAGGACGCCCTCTGCTTAGCATAAGGTGAGAATTTAAACCACAGTGATTGATTATTTTGTCGGTTCAGATGCTTTATTTTTCTCCAGGTTTTATATACTAGGCCCTACATGTGTCACAGACTTGTCAGGGTGCTCATGCTGACCTGTGTGCACCGTCAAAAGCACCTACAATGGGCACATGAGCATCAGAACTGGACCACAGAGCAATAGAAGAAGGTGGCCTGGTCTGATGAATTATGTTTTCTTCTAAATCATGTGGATGGCCGTGTGTGTGTGTGTGCCTCTGACCTAGGAAGAGATGACACTAGGATGCACTGTAGGAAGATGCCAAAAGTGGGACCTACTCAATAATAGGTGGATGGTTGTAATGTTATGGCTGATCGGTGTGCGTATGTATGTATATGCTATGCTAAAATCTATTTTGTAAAAAAAATTATAACACATTTCCCTATATCGTGTATTTAAATCGAACAACTTTAAGTATAACACTGAAGAGATCTGGTGCTGAACAATGAAAATTACAAGCATACAAATTTCCCATGGCTATCTTGTATGCCTTATTTATCATTCCCCTGAATATTTAGCTTTCTCTTTACAATCCCTCAGATTCATACAATGCCTTCTGAGGCATATAAACTGCCCCACAGGTATTCCCTTTATTGTGTCTGGAATGACAAGCAGTATGATACAATAAGTGTTGCTGGCTGTATGCTTTTCTGTGCTTTGTCTGAAAGTAAGAGAAGGGAGGCGCATCTGTGTGTAGACTTCATTCAGTTTTATGGCATCACACCTGTTTGTCCATCTGACTTACACATTTGCACCCTGGCTTACTTGGTGGCATGAAGTAATCTTTGGTAAAGCCGGCTTATAATAGTGGGTCTCGCTTATCTATGTCTCTTATACCCATAGTGTATTATATTAGTGGTAGAGGCAGCTCTTGCTGAAAAATTTCCAATTTGCTTTATTCAATTTTGAAACGTGACACCTTTTCTTCTTTAGAATAATAACAATTACAAGATCCAAAGTAATAGTTCACAATTTGAAACCTTAATTATCTTTTTCCAGGTAGAATTCGAGAGGATAGATTTGTAATGGCCAGGCTGAAACTCACAGGCTAACTCAGCCAGTGTATAACTCCCTAACATAAAATAACACTGATCTAAAGCGCTCTACTTAGTCACACACACTGACCAAATAAGTGATCATCTTCATAACACAAAACCAAACAACATTGACATGTAAATTAACATTTTCTTGTAACTGTTTCTATTTGCAAAAGAAAGATTATTAACAATATGTGCAATTGTGATAAAACTATTTAATCAACAATTCTTAGTGACAACAGCAGTGCATATCATCTTATCGGTTATTAATGCAATCCACACCTCTTGAGAAAGTCTTATTATGAAGACAAGTATAGGCCAGGGCTTAAAACATGCAAATTGTTCCCAAACAGGCTGCTACAAAAAGAGCGGTGGCTTCACCCACTCTACATTTAGCCCTGCTTGTCCGAAGCAGGGCTAAATGTAGGGAAAAGAAACACCCGCCTGGCGCCTCAGACTGCATGTCCCAGAAATAGGATAGGAATTCTGCAACGCTGCTTCCTTGATGTCACAGATCCCTTTCACAAGACAGATTTTCTCTTTGTGGTCATGGAGAGGCCACAGAAGGTCCAGGTTGCTTCTGTGACCACCATTTCTTGTTGTATTTGCCAGACAATAGTTTGCCCCTATTCTATCAGACCCCAAGAACCTTCGTTTTCGGTTACAGTTTATTCTAATCAGGTCATCGAGTCTCTTGTAGACTTTTCACCACTTGGCATTAGCTTTGCAGCTCTGCAAGACAACTACCTGGTCATCTATTCATACATTTATCGAGTTTACAAGGTTGATCTTGTTGGGTTTTTGGATGCTAAATTTGGGCAGGTAGTTGTGTAAACTTCCTCCCCTTGAGGAAGTGGTTCCCTGTGCAGCTCACTATAAAATCCTTTTCACTGAGGTCATTGGTAGACTCAACACCAGTCTCTTTTCTGTTGGTGGTTTTGTCCATGTATTGGAACGTGTTGTGTGGTTTTTTTTTTTTCTCCTTTTACGGCTTGTTCACTAACTGAGCTTTTCTGGCAGAGAGGGGGTTTGGCCTCCAATAGGGGCCCTTTTGGCTGAGCTTTTGTTTTGTACCTAGTATTCTATTAATGCAGGTGACCATATACCCCTATTGTCAAGAGAGTTCTGTCCGTTAATTGTGAGTACAAAAAATAATATTGTTTGAGTGTTTGAGCGTTTGAATTCTAACCAAATGAATTTACCATCCTTATGGAATATTAGTACACTAGTAGACTAATGTAGACTCTAGGAATGCCACATTGCACAGAAAGGATAGGCAGGACTGAGAAGTACCAGCCTGAGAGCTTTCATTCAGATATAGAGAAGAGTCTGGAGTAAGTGTGGCTGAGCAAGTTGACCTATAAACACAAGTGGACACTTGTATATGGAGGTAAGATGGGGCAACCTGTCGCTACCCGTGGTGGCCATGTCTCTCTGGGCCAGGACCTTTGTGGCCTAGGATTAAGTTCAGCTCTGTCTGTGAAGAGGATAAAGCCAGCCATACACCTATAGATTATCTGCAGATTTTCTGTGGTCAGATGGAAAAGGTGCAACAGTTTCCTCCCATCTATGCTAAAATCTGTGGATGGAGGAATCTCCCGCTGGGCCAATCTGTTGCACTTTTTCCATCTGACCACAGAAAATCTGCAGATAATTGTAAGGTGTATGGGCACCTTAAGGGGCAAAAGTAGCAGAGCTGGTGTTGGTCAGAAATTAGTGTTTCTCGTCTATAATGAGAAGGGAGAGGCCAACAAAAACAACCTGTGGTCAAGCTGATGACACAGGAGACAAATATAGATGCAGACATGCTACTCTCTGTTACCAACTGTCTCCTTGCACAGTTCAGGCAGCAGTGAATTAAGTGTGCATGGACCTGCTGTGCAGAAACCTGACCGGATCTGGTCTGCATTTGGTGTGAACAAGGCCTAAGAATGCCTGTTTGAATTAAGCATCCCTCCATCTCAGGCAGTTCTGGCGCAACTCTATGCCTGCAGAAATCTACAAGCGGGCGTTTTAGGCAACGGGTCTTCGAGTGTTATAGAGCTAGCTGAGGTGACTGGTTTACCTGTACAGGAAAATTGACTCTCTACCAGGCAGCAGTTACTGAAGTTTAGTGCAAACTGAAGCACATTCCATAGGAAAACCTGAAGCATTTCAATAAGGTGAGGGCTGCATTTGATGATGTATTTGTGAAAAAAGAACATATAAAAGGAACAAATAATCTGAGCGCTGTAATTAATAATACACCCTTAACTGTATTTTTTTAATTCTAGCAGTGTAAGTACCTGAATTTGCCTTGGTATCAGTCCTTAAAGCAGAGCTCAAAAAGTCAGAGGGAGAAGCAAAACTAAAAGTAGGTCAGGGCACTGTAAGCCGCATGCGGAAAGGAGGTGGGAGGAGACGTGAAAGTGAACCTGCGGCAGCGAAAGATCAGGTCATCTCCCCTGCTAGACTGGTCTGTGCTTTGTGGCAGAGCTGTGTAATTCCCAGGAAAGGATGGGCAGAAATAATCCTTTTGCAGGTTAAACACTTCTTAAAATTTGTATTTCAGTTGTGTATTTAGTAGTTTGCCAAGAGTTCAACTGTAAGCTAACAACTAGATTTTCATTGCCCATTTAGTGGTGTGCCTAAAGTTGTTTGATTTGATATAACTAAACCTAAAATAAAAATATATAAATTGTTCTTAAATGGAGGGCTATGGCGTAGGAAGAGGTCTCTAAAACCTTCTAGTCTGAGTGCCCTACTGTTGATGCAGATCTGATGGGTCTTGAAAGAGGTCTAAAAGAAGGTCAGGGCTCTGCTAAAGCTGTTCAGGTTGCGCTTTTAAAAAAGTGGGATGGTTTAGGCCTGAAAACAATGACTAGAAATTAAGTTTACATTTCCTGTGCTCCTCAGCTCAATCTAGCGGCTGTATTTCAATATTACATTTGTCCTAAAATGAAAATATACTATACTTTTGGGGAAGAGTAGTTTTTTTTTTGTATCTGTCCACAAATTGATTTGCCCTGATTGTGTCAAGGTGTGCTTTTGGATTATTTGCCAATCCGGCATTTATTATAGGAGCATGATGGCCTACTAAGAGGGAGGTGTAGAAAGTAGGAATACCAGCATCGGTATCGGCGGCGATACCGAGTATTTGTATGTGTACTCGTGCAAATGCTCCGATAAAAAAAACTAGTACCTGTGCCGCGTCCGCCATCTTCAAGGACCCGAAACCGCCGCACACAGGACCTCCATAGCGTCTTCAATGAAGCAAGATGGCCGCGAACCCCTCCTACACGGGCGAACAGCCGAAGGTAAACTCTGCCTCCAAGTCCTCAGTCATCTGCTCCATTCTGGCCTCTTCTCCCGCTGATTGGCCGATTGGATGATTGACAGGCTTCCTCACCAGTCAGGAGTGACTGGTGAGGGAGCCTGTCAATCATCCAATCAACTGACCTAAAATCATGATTTTGTTTTGCTTTAGAAAAAATGTGACCTGTCCATTTTAAGAAAAAGTATCGGTACTTGTACTCGGTCTTAAAGTGGTATCGGAGCATCCCTAGTGGAAAGCTTATGCCCTCTGGGTTGTTCAGCGAGCTGAGCTGAAGCCAAGAGGTCATAGAGAATCCCAGGGACTGAGCACTCTAAATTGTACTTTTTCTTTTATGGTTAGGGTCTGCATGTTGGAAGTCTGGAGGTATTTCATTATTCAGTCTCTTCTGCTTGGGAGCATCTTACCTGGTTTGTTGCTGTATTTGTAAAATGCTCTACGGCATCATAGTAGCTGTGACTTTGTTATTTACTAATGTAGTAGCTTGTGTCTGAGTTCTTTTAATCATTGAATTGTAGTTATAACGTGGAATTGTTTGTGCACTTGGGTCTTGTATTCTTTTTCCCTCCTGAAAACCTAGCTTGATTTTAGCATTTCTCTGTTTCCCAAATGGGCATAGGCCTTGTGCCCCCTGTGTCATTTTACTTGAAGAAGCTTTTGAGATCCCCTTGGATAGGTTCAGAAAACCTTGCATCAGATATTTATTTTTCCTTTGCCATTCCTGAGATGGAACCGCGTCCTAAACAGGTTTTGTTACTCTGTATGCCAGCAATACAGAGACGAGTTCTGAAAGCAGTCAGGAAGCAAGTCTGCATCTTGTGTCTGTTGGATTGGAAGAGTTGGTAGCATGATCCCTATACTTTCAATTACTGTTACGGCATTGGTGCTTCAGATGACTACCACATGGGCCAGGTTTTTGTGCCAGGACCTAGTTAATAAATAGGCTCCTTCAGATCTAATCGATCTGACAGGTCAAAATGGTGTCTGTGTGATGCAGTGCTAGACTCTGCTTGCTGGTGTCATGCATAAAAGCTTCTGTATTGGTGTTATAGAGGGTCCTCTGGCTGAGGTTCTAGTCAGCACCTCCTAGTCCGAGTTGACTGTCTCTCACCAGGTGTCTCATGTTATCGATGTTACAGTGTGGAAAGTCTTTGCTCCCCCTTAATTTGTGATAATGGATGTGAGGCTTCACGGATGGAGAGGGGTATTAATCTCCTAGTCGGCCTAGGGTCAGGGGCGGAATCTCTACTCCCCATTATGCACATGTTTTATCCTTTTAAAGACCCTGCAAGTACAGAAAAATACCTGTTGAAATTCCAGAAATGAACTCCGTTCCTCAGTCCTGTTGTGTGCTGACAATACACATAGATGTCTGAGGGTTGTCAGCACTGCCCAGTTTTCTCTTGTCAAACTACTCAGACCCACCTACTCTCACTTCTCCACAAAATCAAGACCAATCATTCTGTATGCCCAAGATAGGAACAGAAGGGCTAAATACTCTGCTTGAGGCAACGCTTGACTGAACACTGGACACAGAAGAGCTCTGAATTGGACATGGTAAACGGGTAGTTTTTTTGCATTTCTCAAACAGACATAACATATAACTGTCAGTGGTATATGTAATAGAACCAAAAGGATGCAAAAAAGAGAAGTTTAGGGTTTACACATACTTAAAAGAACTCTGAGAGAAGAATTTTACAGTGATTTATCAAAATGATTTTTTTCTGTATATCTAATGATTATTTTCTTATTTAGGTCTGATAAAATATTACAAGACATTGTATATAAGCTTGTACCAGGACTCTTTAGAGGTAAGCAAATATTTTCTATGTTACCTGTCACAGTGATACACTAATCTTTGCTGCTGGACACAAATATTAGATGTTGCAACAGAGTGTGCAGAAGTTCTGGCGTACGTATAAGTGTCAATTCAAACTTTTTTTTTTTTTTTATTAAAGATTTTACAACATGGATCTAAGAACTGTTTGCATGCAAGTTATTGCATGGCTTTTTGCTCTAAAAATACTGTTACCCTCTCTCTCTCCACATCAACAGTGAATTTCTATAAGGTGCCTATTGAGGAGAACACAAAAAAGGAGCCATTCCAGGTGCTAATAAAATACTGGTTCATGATAGAAAACATGGACCCCTGAGAAATCCAGGCTTTCAGTGTAATTTCATGTAGAAAATACAATGTTTATTTTTGTGAATTGAACATTTTGAAGCAAAAATTAACATTACAAAAATTAACTGTGTGCACAAAAAAAATCCATAATGCTACTTTGTAGTTGTCTCCTTCTACATTTATGTTCTCTATATATTAAATGATGGCAAATTCTACAGTTATGACTCTCAACAGTTGTATAATGTCTCCTCTATAGATGAGATGAAGCGGCGACGGGATTTCTATGCCTCTTATGCACGTACACATGGTAAGTACCATTCTAAATGCAAATTTTAAGGTGGAAAGATATTTTTCATCTTTAGATATAACTTGGTACATGAAATAAATAACCGGATTGTTGTATATCATTTGTTCTTGTATTTAAACTAAAAGACAAAACTTGAAACCGAAGCAACTATTTGTATAAATCCATAGATTTGACACTTGTGTGAAACATTACATAAGCTCCCAAATACAAGAGCTCAGGAATCGGGTGCCCACGGCACCTTTAAAATTCAATTCCCCGCCCATTACTGTCAAATGAACAACGTATTCCTCGAATTCTGGTACGTATTGGCTTCTTGACTGAATTCCACAAATGCTTGGCACTAGTAATATAATTTTATTACTTTTAAGTTTCTAGGATGTATTTTTCGTCTTTGTCCTCTCCACCTGCCGCAGCTATTTCTGCCAATTTCCTGCTGTCAAAATGATCGTCCGTAAGGCTGTGAAATTACATTTGTAGATTGTCTGTAATTGTCATTAAGTAATACAGTGTAATGTAATGCTACATCGTATTTACTAATGCATTCATATGTAGATCCAAAGTGTGACCTTTTGATCTGCATATAGTTAGTCAGGTTAAAAAAGACACAAGTTCATTGAGTTCAACCTATTGAGAGAAGACAAAAAAGAAAAAAATCTGAAACAGAACGCTATGCCCACAGCTACCCCCTGTTGTTCAAAAGATTCCATCCTGATCCCATAAGGCAATTGGATATTCCCTGGATCAACAATATCTGATGCTTATTATACCTATAAGAACTCAATATCCAATAATATTCTGTGCATTTAGGTATACATACGGTCTTTAAGCTAGTTCTCTATTCAATAGCCAGTTTTCAATCCAATAAATCAGTAAAAGAAACCTTAAAGTAAAAAAAGAAATTTTTACAAATGATATAGTGCTTTTTTCACATTTTTCTTTTATCCATGGCAGAAAATAAATAAAACTAAGATGAAATAAGAATTGGAAAATAAAAAAAGCAAAAAGGCAAGGGAGACAGGAAATAATTAGGGCTGATTAGGGTAAAAAATAATAACTACGGACCGTCTTTAAAACTGGATACAAGTTCCTCACCTGTCTGAACTGTTTAACACTAAACATTTTATGAGCATATTGTCAACCACATAACTTATAAACCACTTCAACTTTCGTACTTGTATACCCCTTATTGGCCAGAGCATTTTTAAAATTTCCAGCTTGTTTATTTGGTGAGTTTGTTTATTTGGTGATAACTTTGTAATTACACTAAAATACCTAAAATAAATTTTTTACAAAGTAGTTTTAGTGTAAATAATAATTGTGTGTTATTTTCATATATCATTTATACCATTGAAATTTACACTAAACTGATATTTTTAGTACACAAGCATGCCAACATTATATGCAAATCAAAAAAAGGCTTTTTATCCCCCTCATTTTGCACATTTTCTTGTTTTATGCAAGGCTGAAAAAAATGAAACAAAAATAAAAGAATTTGAAAAATAGAAATAATTAAAAAAAATGGAGAGAAAAATAGCCATGGGGAAAAGGGAGTACATTCGGGCTGATTAGGGTAATAAAGTGGTTATATATATATATATGTATATATGTATATGAGAGAGAGAGAGAGAGTATATATATATTAATTTTTTCTTTAAGTTTTTTTGCATGGACAGCCTATAGAAATGTATAGAGCTGTCTCCTCGCATTCAGGTACTGTGTCCGTCCAGTAAAATTAAGCTAAAATGCTGCTAATCTTCTGGCTACTTGAAGACAAGTTTCTGATCTGAGGTTTTTGATGGTGAGGATGACGGAGGGCATTTAAACACTTGACATAAATAATGACCTTATATGACCATATTAAAATGTCAAAAATGTATTGCTGTCAATAATGTATTACTTCTGTTGTGTTTGATAGCAAACAGCGATTCCACTATTGAGCAGGGGGACAAAGTGGCAGCGAGCGGAGACATGGTGGTACATGAAGAGGAGAATATCAGCCTTTCCATCCAGTTCTCTGACGATGCCAGGTAAACCCAATGCTGTGCACATTTATTATCAATTCACTGTAAATGACAGGATTACAGTTTCCAACATCTAGAATACAAGTCTAAGCCTCAACCTTCCACTCATTGAAAACCACTTTGAAAACAATTTTGCAATACTTCAACTAAGCCTTTACAACCAAAAATAGGAATACTATGGAATTTATAATATTATTTATAATTTACATGTTTATGGCTTTCTGACCTTTTACACACCTTTCACATCAACAGGGATGACATACGGGATTCAGCCGACAGTGACAATGCAGAGAAAGTAAGCTGAGCGAAAATATGATCTTTTCCTTCCTTTTAAAATTCCTCTTTATCAAATGCATCTAACCAGGCTGCTATATATAGAGTATAGACAAAAAAATTGTATCTTGTGTGATTTATGTTTCCTCCTCTCTCCTGACAGAGGAACAGTCTTCGCTTCTTGCGCTGTCCTGCAGCAATGACCATCACACACCTCGCCAAGTTCTTGCGGAACAAAATGGACGTTCCAAACAGGTACAAGGTATGGCACAAGACCAGGAACAGTCCTGTTTTTTATTTTACGCTATCCCACATTTCACAATGCATAGACTTTATTCTCAACCCCAGTGTTACTTGACTCATCAAAGTATATACCTCATGGTGTAGGTCTCGTTATTTGACATAGTCCTCAACTTGTGCACATTTATTACTAGTATCCCCTACGCTACTTAAAATGCCTAATCTGACCTGCTTTATATAGGATTTATTACGTTAAATCTCTAAGTGCCCCGGGTTACATTTAACGTTTGAAGAGAACCTTTGCCTTGTCAACACTTATCTTGTTACTTTGAGGGAAGGGGTGACCTAGCAGTGTCATCTACAAACAACACATGGGATTTATAATAAAACTTACAGTAAAGTTTTATAAGGTTAAAGGTTGTGTCTTGTTAAATATATAGACCTTTAACTTTTGGGAAAACAACTTTTTATCACAAGCAGCCATTCTTATTAATTATAATGATAACATTACAATATGTCCTCATTAAATACACCCTTAAACTTCAAGGATTCACTCCTAAATAACAATTTGTTGCTGGTAGCTGTGAATATTTTTTTTCTTTTGTTTTTTGTAATACTTTGTAAACAGTGTTTTTTCATTTGGTTGAAGGTGGAGATTCTCTATGAAGAAGAGCCGCTGAAGGATTATTACACCCTAATGGATATTGCCTATATATACCCCTGGGGACGGGTGAGTTTGTTGTTCCGAGATCTAGCATTTGCAGCATGCTGAGTCCGTTATAACAGGCTGTATTTTCTTAAACTGTCAGTAACCATGAACATACAGTATAAAGGTGCCCAGGAGCCTGGCCCTTATATGAAAGCATCTCCCCATAACATTTTTGTATTACTCTCTCTCCAGTGCCTGATCGCCGTAACTATCTGGTGGCACAGGCTCTGGACACATCCCTGCTTTGGCTGGTTGCCATGTAATTTGTTACTGTCCTGCTGCTGGTATCCCCACTGTTGTCATCCCCAGCACTGATCAGGATAGAGAGTGGTGTTGGATTGGAGGAAATCGCTGAACTCCCAATTCACCAATCTCCTTTGGGACCATTGAACCAGAAAGTGCTCACTCGTGAGCACATTTGAGTTCTTAGTTACCAAGCTGGATGAATACAGGCAGGTTATTGTTTGTCCCCCACCTGCACATGCAGCACAGAGAGATGGCATTAGCCATCTATTTTGATTTTCTAATGTCTCTACATGACAAACTTGTCCCCAACTAGAAGGAAAAAGATGACCTTAGGGTGATCTGATACCTTCATGGACTCCCAGGGAGTCTAAGCCTCTGATGAAGTCCTATGAATTATGTCAAATAGGGTGTCATCAGTCCCCATGTGACAGTGATAAAGTTAAATAGGAAAAAAAATGTAAAGTTTTCTGCTGCTTCAAGTGGAGTAGAACTGCGGCATCATTAATCCTCAAGGTGGCTGCATCCATTTACACTAGAAGTCCGTTGTAGCTCCAGCCACAAAGAACTTATATCAGAGTGATGCCCGAGTTATGAACGGATTAATGTAGGTGCCCCCCCGCTGATTTCATCTGACTTCCACCACTACAGAGACTTGCGCCCTGTCTTCATGCTGGTCTTATCGCCGCTTTGAATTAAGGATGCCTAATAAACAGTTTGGTGCATCTCCTTCAGTTTATAATTAGACCCATAAACACGCCATATTGAGTATTCATGGCAAAGTAACATTGTTTCTGCAAAGTTCCCTCCCTCACCCAGACCTACTGATTCTCACCTCTCCAGCAGCTGCTGAAAATTCAGACACTGGTAACTTTATTCATTCTGGAATCTTCTCCTGGGGGATAGGGAGATCCCTGGAGGGCATTTTCTGTTCATGTTGTCCAGATGAATAAAGTTACCAACATTTGAAGTCTCTGACTGCAGCGTTTTTTGTTTTTCCTTTGGGCTTGTGCTGTCTGTGGGGCATAGGATGAGCCCCCCGCTGGTGTTTAGCACCTGATCTGGCTGTGTAATGTGTTTTGAAACAGCCTCTTGTAGTCTCCATCAGGAAGCTCATGTGACACAGTGACAACACAGGGAAACAATTGAAACAGGAACAGAGCGTTGTCACCCTATAACAGGAGGTGCCTGAACAAGGACCTTCATGGCAGGATCTCCAGGTATTATTTCAATGGAAGCTGCAGATGTAATGCTGATCTGTTAAGTTTTAAAGTTGCTCTTTTGCTAAACAGAAAACGTCACATTTAGAAAAACGCCAGCCTGTAAAAGGAGGTTAAGAATACTTACCAGCCTGGCCACTGGTGACTCTAATAATTGCTCTGCCAGGGAATCTTCAGTGTCTGCACTTCCAGATATATTGGATGCCTGTGCTTCCGTGCTATGCTTTGTGTTTCCACCTGCCTGTGCCCATTGTGTCCTGGCTGAACGGCAAGGACCTACTAGAAGTGCCATTGTGTCCGGTAAGTGGAGCCACAGCCCACACCAGGGAAGCGAGCAAAGTTTGGGATGCTGAGGATTCTTCAGCAGGTTTGGCGTATTATTCATCTGCTTTTACAGGGTGACTTTTTTATTTAGTCATTTTGAGTGCTCTTTTCGAGGTTTTAGGGTTACATGTTCATTGCAAGGTTAACTGTTGGTAAGCTGGTGAGCTAAGGGCTAATGTTTGTGATTAGGTTCAGTAATGAGGGTTTAGCTATTTTATTTTGTTCTTCTGTATCATAAAATTGTAATTTTTCCATGTATTCTTTACTCCCGAACCCCCAATTACTCTTCAGACGGGACCATTGCCTCTCAAGTATCGTGTGCAGCCGACCTGCAAGAGATTACGATTTAGCCGCCCGAGAAGCCTGCAGGAGCCAAATCGAGCAACCAACTCCGAAGGGGAGTCAGCCAGTGACAAGGCCAACAGCCCAGCACCAGTTCCCTCCACTTCCTCATCTCTACCCAGCCCTGCCACTCCCTGTCAGGGCTCTCCCAACCCCAACACCGAACTCCCTCCTGCCCCTTCCCTCCATAATGGGCACTCGGCCAGCAAGGGACGAAAAGTTTCTCTCAATGGCGCACCGGGACCGCCCCTCACTTGAGCAATCTGCCTGCTCAGAGCTTTTTATACATATGTACATAGAAAGATGGACTTTTTTTATTTTCTATGGATGATACAAGAGTAATTTAATCCCTCCTTACACCCGGAAACGTTTTGTAATATTTTGTATTATAATTTATAAGAGGGAAGGGAGAAAACGCACATTCTTGTTTGAATGATGCCCCTCCAGTGCCCCATGGCTAACTCGGTTCAAATCTCTCATCTGGTTACCACATATGTGTACTTTGGAATTAAGGGAATTCAGAAAACATTGTTTGAACATTGAAGAATCCATGTATGTATTAAGGAGTATGCACAAGTTTTCTGCAGCATGATTAATCTCTTGTAAGTGTGTGGACTTTAATGGGCAAGATTTTGTAGAGACAAAACTGGATATCCTGTAATGATTGAGCACTTTTGTACAATATGCAGTCTAGGGGCACCGCTGCTCTACTGAATGTGTGTATTACCCTCTATAAAAGTCTGGCCACCACAGAATATAGCACAACAGGGTCCCTCTTTTCATATCATTCCCAAAAGGTTTTGTGTTCCGTTTGTGGGTGGGATTTGGGGTTGTGGGGTGTCTCTTCTGTGATTAATAAAGGCATACAAACCTATCTGTGTTTGTCACTAACTTTCTCCATTTTAATATTGATAACCTGCCCTGTAATCAGGATTATTTGCATATCTCCACCTTTTTGTAAGTGATTTTGTGGTGATGTAGAGGTGCGGGGGCAATGTATGCGCACTGTCAGGAGTCACAGTGCTGTTCTTTGGCCTATTATAGAGTCCATTAGAAGAAGTACAGCGTCCTAGAAACTCAAAATTGCCTCCAGAGGAACTTAAATCTGACTCTCTGAGGGTTGTATCTGTAACATGTAATCAGCTGAGCCCTCACCCCTTTTCATGAACCAGCACACACACACGTGTCATATCAGCTCTGAGGAGACGATCAGCAGCAGCAGCTGTGACAGAGCCGAGAGAAGGCAATATGTCCCCCGAGCGTCATCACAGGACATCTCCCTCTCTCTGTGCTCTGAAGGAAAGTTTTTTTCCACATGTTCTGAAGGTAGAACTGTCTCTAAACTTTCACTCTTTTTTTGTGTGTCTTTCTCTGATCTCTCTCTGTGATCTGTGTGTCACCAGAGCTGTGTGCAATGTCACATGAGGCATGTTCAGTTGCTCAGCCACTGAACCATGTGCTACAAGTCAGCGCTCAGCATTGCCAACTTAGCACTCGCAGCGGAAGTGAATGTGGATGCAGAGTGTGACGGAGAAGGTGGGGACATAACATCAGCTGCCATTTTAACTGTGGGCAGCACTGGAGAAAAGTGCCCAAACCCCGATGGAGGAAATTAATTCAGTGTGGGAACCTACAATTTAATGTTTTGGTGGGCGAGCACACCAAATATTTGTTGGTAAATGGTATCTATTAGTCAATATTATCCTCTGCCATTTAGCTTAGCACTGTTCAGCTGAAGCGTTCAGTGAAGCTGCTGCAGCTACTCAGCGATTGGTTAAGGAACTAATTGCACCTCAGGGCTGTGCGCGGCAGGGTCACCAGAGCTTTGCGCAAGGTCACCAAGGTATCCCTAATTATAACATACATGTATATCCATATTGCTACAATACCTAAAAACAACTAAAAATAGCTGCTTTATTATTGGTGGTCTCACTGTTAAACGTGTCACACTGCACTGCAAAACTGATATACCCCCCATGTTCAACTAAAATATTCAAAATAATCTACAGTGTACTTATTAAACACAATCAAATGTGCCACAAACATAGGGGGTATATCAGTTTCACAGCGCGGTGTGAATCACATTTATATACAAATTGTCCAGGGAATAGTGCGGAGTAACCGCTAGATTTTTATTCTTTTTTTTTTTAACCTATGGCTACAGTTAGAGGATTGTTTTGATGTCCAAGGTTGACCCGGGTGATAAGGGGGGTATTGGTGATCATGCAGGTTGACCTGGGTAATGAGGGGGGTATTGGTGATCATGAAGGTCGACCCCTGGTGATTAAGGGAGGGTATTGGTGATGTCCAAGGTTGACCCGGGTGATAAGGGGGTATTGGGCAGCACAGTGGCGTAGTGGTTAGCAGTTCTGCCTTGCAGCACCTGGCCAGGTCACTATCGGCAAGGAGTTTGCATGTTCTCCCTGTGCTTGCGTGGGTTTCCTCCAGGTAATCTGGTTTCCTCCCACACTCCAAAGACATGTTGGAAGGTAAATTGGCTCCTGTCTAAATTGGCCCTGTATGTGTGCATGTGATATAGGGACCTTAGATTGTAAGCTCCTTGAGGGCAGGGACTGATGTGAATGTACACACATACAAAAAAGGAGGGGGTTGAGGGAAGACAGGGGTACCCAAAAACCGATCACAACCACTACCCAGTTTGAGGAGGGAAAGGTAGGTTCACATACTTACTAAACTTTGCCGGATGCATGGAGGGTACCACTTCCCCAGACATATTGCCTTCCTCCAGAGCAGGAGTGCCGTCAGCCCTGGGGAACACTGACAGAACAAGTCACTCAGTCTTGTGTGAGAACACTCACAGGCTGCTCGAATCCAGGATAGGGCTGTCACAGCTGACCCTTCACAATGCTAAGGATCTGCATGCACTCAATGGCAGATTTGGGGGGACCTACAAAGATCTATATTATCCAGCCTGTCACCCTGCTCAGCTGTTGCTTGAAGGTCTGGAAAACAGATGCAAACAAAATGCAAAAATAATTCCTTGCAAACAGAAAAGGGAATTAAGATTCCAAGCAGGGAGCTTAGATCCTAACTCCTTGACACTGGGCTAAACATTGAGCTGCCTCTAGCAGATGGGGGTGTGGCCCTGCTCAAGGGCCACCCCTAGGCTGTGTTTAGTTTTTTTTTAGTATAGTGTTCTATTTCTGAAGGTGGAGCTTCAATGAAGAGAAATGTAGTTGTTGCCGGGATTTTGATGTTACTAGGGCTTACAGAGTAACACAAAGCTCTGTTTATCAAAAGGACTAATATAAGACAGACTAAAAATAAATAGTAAATATGTCATCTCTGGTAGAATAAAAAAATAGTAATACCTGTTACTACTGTACTACCTGTGAGACTAAAGAGATACCACACCCCGAAAAAAGAAAAACAGGGCTTTGTTTGGTATCAAAAAACACCACTCATGGTGTACTTACCTCCTGATGAATCCCCTGCCTTTCATGCGAAACGCAGATACCCTGGCTTCATGAAAAATTCTGTATTACATGGACTATGTTAACGTCTTTTGGATACTTGCCCAACACCTACATTGTCGGTATCTAATTAAGTGGTAGTTATTTAGGATGCCAGCATTATGAGCAAGGACTGTTTTAGCTAGGCTTTTTAACGTGTTATCTTATGTATCAAAAAAGATATACCTTTTATAAGTATATGAAATGACCATGAGTGGTGCTTTCTGATACCAAACAAAGCCCTGTTTTATAATTTTTTTTGTTTCAGAATGATATATACCGTATTTGCCGGCGTATAAGACTTTTTAGACTTAAAAACATCCCCCGATTTTCGGGGTCGTCTTATACGCAGGATATACCATATTAAGTGTAGATTTAGCAACCGACCTAGTCTGACATGCCCCATCTCTCCCTTTGTCAGCATGCTGGATGTGCGGTAATACTGTACAGTAGCTTTGGCTACATACAGTATACCGCGCTGAGCCAATCATGGCGAGCGATGTATTCTATTAATACAAAGCCTGCTCGGATTGGCAGGGCTTGTGTATATCGCTCGTCGTGATTGGCTCAGTGCAGTATACTGTATGTAGCCGAAGCTACCGTACATACAGTATCACCGGACATCCAGTGGGCTGACAGATTAGCCTCCCTAGCGGTCTGATTATTTTTCCTTTTTTTAACTTTTACAATTCCTGCCGGTTCGGCCCCCTTTTCGACGCGGACGGAAGACGGAGGACACAGCGAAGAACATGGACAAGGTAAGAGACGCTACGCTGTAATCCCGAGTGTGGCTCGGGGTTACCGCTTACGATACTGAAAATTAACCCCGAGCCACACTCGGGAATACCGCCAAGGAAGTTAGTGGGTGTATAAGACGAGTATAGCCCAAAACCTATGTTTTAACAGAAAAATTAGGCTGTCGTCTTATACGCCGCCAAATACGGTAGATTGGGCTATATACATCAACCTTTCTCAGCCACAGCACCTTTTGAGAGTATGCAAAATCTTGAGGCACCCCACTCTAAAATGTAAAACACAAAAATGTTTAAAAAAAAAACCCAGTTCCGCCCAGTATCAATACTAAACCTTATCCTAGACAGGGGTCTGGTATGGATTTTAAGGGGAGTGCCTAGCCACAATAAAAAAAAAAAAAAACAAGTGGAGTTTCCCCTTACCCTCAGTGCACCTCTTTAATAAAAAAAAAAAAAAACCAAGTGGAGTTCCCACTTCACATCAGTGTCCCTCTTTTTGCATCAGAAGGCACCCCTGGCAAAGCCAGAAGACATCCTGGTTGTGAAAGGCCGGTATATATTTCCAATTTATACTGCAGAAAATATTGAAATCTGCTTCTAGTAAGGGATTCAAGTAAAGAAAACTATAATGTGGCTGTTATCAGACAGTAGAGACCTTGCTTTGGGTGTAGGAAGATTGGGCACATACAGCTAACCGTGGAACTGGACTGTTTCCATTGCAACCATCAGACCCACAAGCTAGAATTAGAAATAATGGACGCTGGGCGTAAACTAATTGTGGGTATTTGTTACAAACCACCAAATATAGGGGAGGAGGGGGAGGCTCATCTACAGTCTGAAATAGAAATAACAAGATGTTGGCATTGGCGTTCCATAACTACAAAGAATGTAATAAAAGATGCAAACTAGTAATCCGGGATCTAAAATAGAGTGCGATAAGCATATTGCCACAGATAGTAAAAAAAAATCCCAAACATTTTTACCAATATATAAACAGTAAAAAGGGGAGAAAGGAGCAGATAGGCCCAATAAAGGACGAAAGGGAAGTTAGTCACAAATGACAAGGAGAGGGCTCAAGTGCTGAACACTTTTTTTCTCCTCAGTATACACTCAGGAGGGAAACGGGTTTGACATACATGATAAAACACATAGTTCATCACAAAATATAGCCAAGTTGTTGACGGAACCCGGGATACAACAAAGACTTAGTCTACTTAATGCAAATAAAGCGTTGGGACCGGACAATCTACACCCCAAGATACTTAAGGAACTAAGCGAGGTTATAACTAGACCATTATTCCTCATTTTTAAGGACTCTCTAATGACTGGTAGAGTTCTGAGTAGGGCTGCAACAACTAATCGACATAATCGATTATTGAAAAAGTTGTCAACTTTTTCAATAATCGATTAATCGGCTTCCGATCAGTTGGCCCTGTTCACAGCTCCACACGCTGTGCGCCGTACCTCCTCCCCACCTCACGCACGCCGCTGCCAGACCCGCCCGCATCCATGCTCCACACACTCACATCCACGATCGGCACAGGGACGCGGGGAGATGTAGTAAGGAGGAGCAGGTGTGGGGTGATGACAGCCGCCGATAGACAGGCCCGATCTCAGAAGCAAGTTGCTGGAAGACTGCTCAGGTAAGCCTGCACTTTCCCACACATGGTGCTCTATAATGTATTGCTGGGATTTGTATTCCTCTATAGCTGATGGTACATTGTGCTGTATATTATACATAGGAATACAAATCCCAGCAATACATTATACACTGTATGTATAATGTATTGCTGGGATTTGTTGTACTCTTCTATAGCTGGTGATATTCTGCATTGCACGGTATAATGTACTATTGCTGGGATTTGTTGTACTCCTCTATAGCTGGTGATATTCTGCATTGCGCTGTATAGAGGACTACAAATCCCAGCAATAATACATTATACAGTGGTGCAATGCTGAATACCACCAGCTATAGAGGACTACAAAACCCAGCAATAGTACATTATACAGCGCAATGCAGAATGCCTCCAGCTATTATGTACTATTGCTGGGATTTGTTGTATTCCTCTATAGCTGGTGGTATTCTGCATTCATTGCTGTATAATTTTACACTTTCCATTTCACTATATTGCACACCACACTATCTTTCTTTTTTACTTCCACCGCTCCAAGCTTGCTCCTGTGATGGACTACAACCTCAATACAAACTAGTAGTCCCATCACTGGAGCCTTTTTTTAAACTTTATTTTATTGTTTAACCGATTAATCGAACCTAATAATCGGCTAACTAATCGAATCGATTTTGAAAATAATCGTTAGCTGCAGCTCTAGTTCCGAGTGACTGGTGGAAGGCTACGGTAGTTCCAATATTTAAGAAGCGGGCAAGATGCCAACCTGGGAATTACAGACCAGTTAGTATTACATCGGTAGTTTGTAAACTGTTAGAGGGAATGATTAAGGACTACTTGGTAGAATTTGTTGAGGATAATGGTATAGTTAATGACAACCAGCATGAGTTTAGGAAAGACCGTTCCTGTCAGACTAGCCTACTGACTTTTTACGAGGGGGTAAGTAGAGATCTGGAGGGAGGTCTGTGGATGTGGTATACCTGGATTTCGCTAAGGCTTTTGATACGGTACCACACAAACGCTTACTATACAAGCTGAGAGCTATGGGCATAGATGGAAGGGGGTGTACATGGATAGAGAACTGGCTAAAGGAACGGGTGCAGAGAGTATCAATAAATGGCGCCCTTTCAGACTGGGCTAGTGTCATTAGCGGTGTGCCTCAGGGTTCTGTGCTGGGACCCATGCTTTTCAACCTGTTTATTAACGACATCGGGGACAGCGATATCTCAGTGTTTGCTGACGATACCAAAATTGGGAGGGTAATAGAAACAGACCAAGATAGTGTAACATTGCAGGAGGACCTGGATAAAATAGGGGAGTGGGCAACCATGTGGCAGATGAGGTTTAATGTCAAAAAATGCAAAGTTACGCACTTTGGGATTAAAAATAGGCAAATGGGTTATACAATTATGGGTGTGCCGCTAGGGAAGTCGGAAATGGAGAAAGACTTGAGGGTCATTGTAGACCACAAACTGACTAATAGATTACAGTGCCAGGTTGCTGTAAGCAAAGCTAGTAGAATCGTGTCCTGCATCAAGAAGGGAATGTTTTGCAGGGATAGGTCTAATTTTGCCACTTTACACATCACTGGTTCGGCCTCACCTGGAGTATGCGGTGCAGTTTTGGGCAACGGTACACAGAAAGGATGTCCTTGAGCTGGAGAAAGTCCAGTGGAGGGCGACCAAACTCATCAAGGGGATGGAGGACCAGAACTATGAGACAAGGCTACTAAATTTAAATATGTTCACGCTGGCAGTAAGGAGATTAAAGGGGTTCTAAACCCTCCGGTTTTTTTTGCTTTTAGCAAGCAGTAGATATAGGCAAGAAGTGTAAAAAAAATAAAATCATTTTAAAAACTTACCTCGTTATCGCTGCTCGCTCCCGCGCCGAGAATCAGGAACTGCTCGTACGGCCGCAAAGGATCTTGGGGCGGGCGCATGCGCAGTTCCGATTTTCGGCCGGGAGACGAGCAGAGACGCAAGGTAAGTCTATGGACGATTAGTAGTTAGGCTAGTGGACCATCTACTCTCCTGTGGTTAAAACTGTATTGTATTTTGCATGTGATTTTTTAGTTCAGGATTGCTGTACATGTGTTCCCTAGTGGGAGCTGTGTTTATTAAAAAATATGTAAAATGCACATATAATGCAGCAATCCAAAATGAAAAAAAGATCAGAACAGAGCCACTGAAATTATTGATAAGGAATGAAAACCTGCCCAGAGCAATGAGCAGAAGATTCATGACTGGACTGCATAGGTTACTGCACACCACATTTCCAAGTTCATATTATTTAACATTCAGCACTGCTTAATACGCATGTGCTTTTTAAATAAAAAAAAAGTAAATTTAGAAATTATTTGTGGACTGTAAAAATTTGTCAAAAGACTCTGCAACTGGATGGAATCCTCATTTAATAACACAGGTCTGTGAATTTTGGCTTTGTAGTCATTGGGACTGCACATGGCTTTCTTTGTGTGTGCCATCACAATATGGTGGGGACTTGGTCTGTTTGCAGCCACATAGCCATGCTTCCTTGTCTTCTGTAAGGGTGAAACGCAGGGGTGAGAGACCAGGTGCCTTCTTTACATGGGAGCCATCGCAGAAAGGCTGGGAAGAAAAAAGTGTTTAAAATAGAGATGATAAATGTAATACTTTTTCTATGTTACAGACTACATCACTGATCAGAAATTACTTGGCACACACACCACCTTACATATTCACGTCTCCAAGTCCTAACAAAATGTGCACTTGGTGGGTTGTTAAACAGAAAAACAAATATGTAATACATTGCAGCTCATCAGTCCTTAGATATGGTGGCTGCATTAGTTTTCATTATGTAAGCGTTGATGATTCTGCCAGGAACACACTTCCTGTCCTAGGGTAACGATTCTCAATCACTGTACTGTATCAGGACAAGACTCACCCTGTCCTCTCATACATATGTAGCGCTCACCGTTTCATTGTTAGGGTTTACATACACTTTAAAAATACCTTTAGTTATACTATAGAGTGGTGAGATGTTAAAACCTCGGTCAGGTTTTTATTGCTGTATGTGTCCTTGTTAGGGAGATTCAGCATCACTGATTTTCCTGATTACCAATGACTTGGGGGACAAAAAAAAGGGGGGTAAAATCTTTGAGTTGCCACCAGAACAAGAATAGAGGGAAAATGTTCCAATGGGGACACTTGTTCATGTGTCTAAGAGTGGGATTCCCTCACAGGATATATTCCCACCTCTGTGAAGAGTAAGTGAAGAGAAATCAGCCTAATGAGGCACAAATGTAAAAATAAAAAAACACAACTGACAGGTGTTTAACCACTTGCTGACCAGGTGTTTAGACCCCCTTCCTGGCCAGGCCATTTTTCAGTATTCAGCGCTGCGGTACTTTGACTGACATTTATTCCGTCATGCAACGCTGTACTGATATTAATTTTATACAATTTTTTGGTAACATATAAAAGACGGGGTCACGTCGGGTAAATAGACACCAAACATGTCATGCTTAAAAATTGCGCGAAATCGCAAAAAACTACCATACCCAAAATTTGCCATAGGCGACACTTTAAAATCTTTTACAGCTCATCAGTTTAATGTTATCAGGGATTGATGGCCCTAGAATTATTGCTCTCACTCCGACGTTCGTGGCGATATGTAACATGTGCGGCGTAATGGACGCAATCGTCGTTTTCGCAGGCATGCACCCCTGACGCATGTTTGCATGCGTGTATGTAGGGATGGGGGACTTTTAAAAAAAATCTGTTTTTTGTAATTCTTTTTTATGTGTAACTTTAGTTTTTTGGGGGGGAAACTTTAATTTTTTTTTCCTTTTTTTTTTTTCCCACTTAACTTTATTGCTATCAGATAGGGGGCTAAGAAACCCCCTTATGTGATAGCAAAAGAAGTGACAGGTAATCTTTATGGAGACATCAGGGGTCTCCAAGACCCCTAATGTCACCTAGGACCCCCCTGAAGAAGCTGATGGAGCAGAGATCTGCTTCATCAGCTTCTCTCCAGCGTCTGAAGCTGGAGAGTAAAACAGTATATATATATATATATATATATTAGCCCAAACTTTTCTTTGTTTTTGTTTTGAGAGTAGGGAAGCATTGAAAGTTATTTCTTTGCTGTCTGTGTCCTGCTGGGTAGATTTCCAGTCATTCCTGTCCTTAAAGTAGTTTACAGGCTAATGGTTTTTTACCTTAAAAAGGAGAACTTTGAGTGTTTTTCCCTCATCCTCATAGTTTGAGCCGACCTGTGACAAAAGAAGCTGTCACAGGTCGACTCTATCGATCGGGAAGTGAGCAGAAACATGCACTGATCCGCTCACTTCCCGATTGTCTCCCTGCAGTGGGTCACCGCTCCCCGCAGGGATTCCCCCCTCCCCGCTCCGATCCTCCAACGCTGAGTGGAGGAACGAACGTGGGAGGGGGCGGGCACAGCTGGCTCTGCCTCTAGATAAGCAGAGCCAGCTGTCACTTATGCAGCTGGGTGGATTACGACAGTATTGTCTGGATCCGTCCCGGCTGCGGCGGTCTCAGTATATCGCGGGCAATAGCTTGGTAGATACTGATCTTTGGGTCATGGGAGGAGAATAGTATATGTCCTCCCGTGACCCTAAAGGGAACTATGGGGAAAAACACTTACCCAATAATTCTCTTTTAATGCATTCTCTGCATTAGGGTAAAAAAAACGCCCTGCTACCTTTCCATGCCCCCTCCACACAAAATACTTAACTAGGGCCCACTTTACCAGTGTCGACTCCCGAACGATCTGCTGTGTCTCAGAAGTTCCGTGCTGAGGATTCTGCGGCCACTCAGGGCACGGCAGCAATAGGCTACTGCACTTGCCTGTCAAATTACTGTGAGGAGGCGGGGATAGGAGGCGTGGCTTGTAGAATGCTGTGTGTGTGTGTGTTTCAGTGGACGCACACAGCTTGGGTCAGTTCCCAGCCATGACCGTGCATGCACAGGTATCTGCTTTACAACCTGCGACACACCTGTAAAAACAGGAGGGGAGGTGACCGCAGTATGAAAGCTGCTAGAAGGAAATTAAATAGCGCAATTTAAAAAAAAAGCGGCTCATTAAATGAATGGCCATATGAAGTGCGGATTTAACATACAAAAACAAGGGTTTAATGTCACTAAGACACAACAGGGATTAAGAGGATATCTCCTCAAACAGAAAGGAAATTCCATTCTTTGACAGTTGTCACATTTGCTACTATAGGATGAATTCACCACCCCTCTTGCTTAGGTGACAACACCTACATTTTGGATCCCCCCTCCCCTCCCCCAATTTTAGCCTTGGTAACAATGGACAGCAGGGCAGACATGTAAATCTTCCCATTGGAGGCACAAATGGCATAAGAAACGTGACAGACTGTAAGGAGTTGAGCAGTGCACAACATTTACCTGTTTCTTGCTGTGGCCACAGCTACACCATGGATATAGTTTCCCAGCCTTCAGGTCCACTTTATATGGATGTTTAGCTGCAATAACTGGAGTCACCTGTGAAGTGCTGCATGTCTGTTGATGAGACAGTTATTGTTGTCAGCTACATTGGGATGCTCTGCATAGCAAAAATCAAGGTCACCAAACCAAGGTTTACAATGCTTAACGTTTTTCCACCATCAACCAACAAAATAATCATCTTTGGAAACCTTTTGAAGCTCTTGAAATGCAATTTGCACCCAAGGGTAAATCTTCACATTTTGTGTTTTTTTAGTATAATTATACAAACTCTTTACAATGTGTGTTCATATCATTAAATGGAGAGCAATTGATCAACCATCAACCACCCCTGCAAAGAGCAATATGTGATATTTTTATTTTATTATTATTAATTCAGAAAATGTATAGACTTCCTAAAATACAAGGACATGATAAGTATCTGCAAAGACCAAGATTGAACTGCCTGTCTTACAATCCTATACGGCATTAGCACAGAAATTATAACTACTTCACTGGAGGCTATTGCCTGCAGTATTACATTTAGCTGAACAGAGCTGCCACCACCAGCGCACAAATTCCGGCTTTCACCCTGTATCCTTCTCCCAGTGCAGAGATCTCATTTCACAGTATCCATGGAAGCAGTGAAATGATCTCTCCGTACACGGGGCTCATCAGGCAGCTTCTCAACAATGGCTTATAAGTATAACCTTCAAAGTGGCCAGTCCCCAGAGTGTGGCCACTAACCCCTCGGTGGCCGGTGGCCAGTCCCCAGAGTGTGGCCACTAACCCCTCGGTGGCCAGTCCCCAGAGTGTGGCCACTAACCCCTCGGTGGCCAGTCCCCAGAGTGTGGCCACTAACCCCTCGGTGGCCAGTCCCCAGAGTGTGGCCACTAACCCATCGGTGGCCAGTCCCCAGAGTGTGGCCAACTAACCCCTCGGTGGCCAGTCCCCAGAGTGGGCCAACTAACCCCTCGGTAGCCAGTCCCCAGAGTGGGCCAACTAACCCCTCGGTAGCCAGTCCCCAGAGTGGGCCAACTAACCCCTCGGTAGCCAGTCCCCAGAGTGTGCCAACTAACCCCTCGGTAGCCAGTCCCCAGAGTGTGCCAACTAACCCCTCGGTAGCCAGTCCCCAGAGTGTGCCAACTAACCCCTCGGTAGCCAGTCCCCAGAGTGTGACAACTAACCCCTCGGTAGCCAGCTTGACGTGGGAGAAGTGGCATAGAAAGCTGCACTGCTGAACAAGGAAAAAAAATGTGAGTCACCTACCTGTGCAGTGTGGCGAATGTAAGTAAACCATAAGACTGGCTATACAGAATTACAAATCATTTTGCAAGTAAACAAACAGCAAACATAAATGCTTCTAAAAATGTGCATTATGGTTGCCTTTAATGATGTAATGCTATTCATTTATAAATACATTGCACACCCTCCTGGGCTAACAGCTATATCCCTCAACTCACTATCCAGACATATGGCTCTGCCCATGAATTACAATATAGAAAAACTTTAAACACTTGATACAATTAACACACCATCACTGAAACCATTCCAGTTAAGAGACAGATATTATACACATAAAAAAAAAAATGTGCAGCATGTTTCTCACAGATGTCTCTCTTCTACTTGTACAACTTCAACGTGATCTGTCCTGTGCACCAGTGTACATACATGTACTAGTACCAAAAAGGTGTAAAGCGGTTGTGCTTTAAAAAAAAAAAAATCTTCCTATTAAGGGCATTGTGACAGGCTCTCTTGATAGGACGCCCCTAGCCAATTATAATAAACCCTGGGTTTGAAGTGTTTCACTACTGTTTCAGTCCAATATGAGAGAACTCCTCTATATGTTTGTTTTGTATTCCCATTCTCACCGAACAATATTTCTTACCATTTAGATGCTTTGTTGCAATAGGAAAGATGGCCGATTACAGTTTTTTTCTGAGCACCTTCACAGTGATCTGTCCTAATAGAAAGTCTTAGGACTGAAATGTGTGGATTGTGTTTCTCTCATTACCTTCATTAAACATACAATGGAGAAGCCCCTCACAGTCCCTGCTAACATCACAAAGAAGGAGAAGCAAGTAGAAATTTTAACTCTTAAGAAGCCAAGAACCCCTAACCCAAGTAAAAACTATTTAAACTACAAGAACATTTAAAAAATATTTTTTCGCTCATGTTATGTAAATAGGAACATATAAAAATATTAAATAGGCGTTATGCCAATCTGGCTGCGAAAGTGGAAATACACTTTAAGCTTCTTGTTGGCCAGTCTTGAAGCTTACACTGGGTTAATAAGCTTCTCCCCTCTCTCATATGCCTGTGCTTGGAGATTGCCCGCTCAGGCTCCAGCACTGCATCCTATGGGGCTCCCCCATTACTGAAAATGCCCAGCATCTCTCAATGCTCCTGCAGATGAATGAAGTGGCGGGGAGCATGGGGAAAGTAAATCAGCAAAGTGACACATTTTCCTTAAGCCAAGCAGCCAAATGTGCATTTAGGCTGGGTTCACACCTAGGCGTATCGAATTTGCACGTTTTTATCGCGGTAAAAAAAAAAACCCAGACAAACACGCGTTTCCGAGGGCTACCTGGCTGTATCCCAATGGATACGCACGGCAAATACGCCCCAAAGAAGCTCCTGTACTTCTTTGGGCGTAGGGCGTTTTGCAGCGCGTTCCTACGTGCTGTAAAACGCCCAAGTGGGAACCATGCCAATAGGCAATCATTGGTTTTCACATATTGAACGTTTTACAGAGCATAAGAACATGCTGTAAAACGCCCAGGTGTGAACCAGGCTTTGCAAATGTTCATTTGGTTAAACTTTGACCTTCCAAGATCATCTATCACAAACATTCCTGAACATTGACGTTGTCATTGAAATTACTCCAGGAAGTTTGCACTGAGTGACCTCCTATTACTGAGTTCTGCCAACTTGAATTGCTTTTTATCCTGTGTTGTGTGCTGAAGTCAGCAAATGTCTTTCATAGTATAACAGAAATATGTGTATTATAGTATAATGTAACTACACTGAAAATGATACTAACATACAGCGCAAGAGGATACATGTCATCTATTCTTACAATCTATTTTATGATTTTATTGTAACATTTTGGTGCAAAGTCTCCCAGTAAAGTGCTTGTTCACACCATATACAGTGCGTTCCAGCGTGGTTAGCTGCTGGAACGCACTGTATCACCTAGTAAACTCCCCCTTGCTTTCTGGGGTGGGAGGGGGCATGACACTGCATTGAAGTCAATGGCACCGCAGCCACGCCCCTCTGCCTACACTGCGATCGCCCGCACCAGAACTCATGGCACATCAATATCAAAGCTTTACCATACATGACGCCAATAGTTATTTTTCAGCTTGACAAAATAGCCCTTACCACTGTCAAAATGACCCTACCATGCTCTCAGCTTCTCACATACCGATCCGAGGTGCCAAGGCGCAGGCGTGGGGGCCCGATCCGAGGTGCCAAGGCTCAGGCGTGGGGGCCCGATCCAAGATGCCAAGGCGCAGGGGCCCGATCCAAGATGCCAAGGCGCAGGCATG